TCCAGTAAAGGAGGGATCCTGCCCTTGCTATTTTATATCTTGCACACACACACACCCAGATAGAGCAAACGCTGTTTCAGTGACTAAATATACTTCAACCACTTCATTTTTAAGGACGCCGTGAGGAATTCTGTTGAGCATATGGGCAGTGATTTATGTAATCATATTCCTATTTGCAGACTTTTATCTTGGGCTCTAAGAGACCGCGCCGCAGCACTTGCCCTGGAAGCCGGGAATACTAGAAAAGACGGGAAAGTGGGGAATGGTTAAGACTCCGCACAAGATTTTAAGCTCGCAGAGGAGGAAAGAAGGTCAGCGAGGCTGCGGCCGGCGGAATGCAACGGGCCTAAACCAGTAGGCTTGGGAGCGACGTTCTGCAAAGGGCGGGTTGTACCCAAGTGCAAGGGGCGCTGAATGGTGGAACCGGAACCCACCAACTAGAGCGAGACCCCAGGACCGCTGGGCGGCGGGCGGTCCAGGCTCAAAAGCTCGAACGCCGCCGCTCCTCACCAACAGAGGGCGCTGGGTCCGCAGCAGTTCTCAGTGGGCCGGTCGCGCAGCTGCCTGCCAGATGTGAACAGCTGGACCGCGGGAGAAAAGAGCTCTACCCTAGCGGTTGCAGACCCCAAGCAGGGAGAGAGAGAAGAAGGGATGACAGGGGGCAAGGGCAGTGGCACAGCGCCCCATCGTCGGTGCTCTGCAGACGCCCAGATTGCCTTCGCTGGTGGGTCAGAAAGGGAAGCTTCCCGCCCAGAGGGGGCGCCGTTTTCAGATTCCCACAAAAGTGCAGTCTGGGCTGGCAGGGGCTCTGGGGCTGGCTCAGACAGTGTCGGGTCCACCCGGAGGGGCCCAGGGCCTGGAGAGACCCACGCGACCGTATGCGGCGGGAAGGAGGGCCTGCTTTGAAGGCTTTGAGCTTCTAAAGTCCCCAGGCCTTGATTTCAGACACTCCAACATCACAGAAATCTCCCTGTCCTGGGTTCGTTGCAAATTCCAGGAGAAACTGAGGCACAGCAGGACGCAACAGTTAGTAGAGCCATTCTCTCCATATAGTCTGGCGTGGAGAAGTTGGACTAAGAAGGCCTCAACTCGAAGCTCCAGTTAAGGACCCTGGTCAGGGGGCAACCCCAGACAGCCGCCGCCCTCTAGACCTGCCTGCTGTCCCCACCCCTGGCCGCTTCCCGGACTCCGGAGTAATCAGCTGCTGCGCGCTGTGGTAATTGGCGGTGCAGGCCCCGCCTGGCAGAGAACCGGCGGGCAGCGCAGGGGCAGCCGAGGGGCTTAATTGCAGGGCTTTGGGTGGCAGTCTGGGCCGCTCGATGTTGAGGGGGAGGTAGGGGACGGACACTTAGCTCGGAGACACCATCATTGGAGGAAGCCAAAAGACCTTCGGGTGGGTAGTCGGGGATCCCTTCTCCAGAAACCGGGGTGGGGGAAGAGTTGGGGGACTTGAACCCCAGAGAGAGTGCGAGGAGCGGAACGTTTCCGGAGAGCGGGGGGGGGGGGTCAGTTTCCAGACTTCCCAGCCCAACCCCAGAAGTCCTGGTTAGTCTCGTCCCCCCCCTCCTCTTGCTGCCACCCCCGTCACCCCCCCTTCTCGTATCCCTAGGGCGCTCCCACCCTGGGGAAGAATGTGCCCTACTAGCGCACCCTTGCCATGGTAACGGCACACCCCCACCCCCGCGCACCGCAGCACCAGGGCCTGGCCCTGAGGGCGGCGAAAAAAGGTGGGGGGGGGACGGGGGGGGCGCCTCCCAGCCCTACGGACACACCTCGACTGCCCTGGTTGCCACAGCAACCGGGGGCGTTTCGAAGTGCGCAGTCGCGAAGCGGCAAAGGGCTCAGCTCTGCTCAAGATCTGTCACCCCTCTAATCCACCAGCAGAGGACCCTGGTTCCTGTTGGAGACTGCCTTTCCCCAACTTCAAGGGCAAAGTCCAGAGAGGGATCATGGGGTGTCCCAGCACTATAAGCCTAGGGAGCAAAGGCAGCCGGAGAGCCCCAGAGAGCCTGGAACGTGTAAAAGGATACCCTCTGTCCCAGCCCGTGCTCCCCTCCCAGCGAGCCCGAGGGGGGCGCTGGCAGCAGGAAGCTGGGGTAGGCCCCGGAGGCGCGCAGGCCCAACAGCCGAGCGGTGATTACAGGGACCTGTCCCTCCCGCTCCCGGCTCCCACTCTCATTAAGTCATTTTTTCCCCTGTTGGAAAGTCCCCGTGCCTTGAGCGCAGGGGTTGGGGCGACCGCAGGCAGCTGCCGGCAACCACATGAGAAGTGGGGGTGGAAAGGGAGGAGGGGGACTGCGACTAGGGCCTGGCCAAACTCCAACGTGAAGGCCCCTGCGGGGGGGGGGGTGGCTAGCTGGGGGCACCTTAATTCCAGGGAAGGAGGGATAGGGCGGCGGGTGCCCCTGACCTTGCTTCTCAACCACCAGGGCCCTTCCGCATCTGCCGAAGCCTCCTCTTTTCTCCAACCCTCCGTTCTTGGGCGACCATAAAGCTGAATGACTGGGTTCTGGTCCCCACCCCAATCTGGCTGCTTCTCCCTGACCCTTAACCCCACCACTGCCTGCCGATCTGTCCGCCACCCTCATTCTCTACTAGTTCTCCCCCTTCCTCTCATTGGGACCATCCAGGCTCCATTAGACCATGCTATTTTTTCCTCCTGCGAGAAGATGGCCCGGTGGCCATCAAGGTGAAAAGTGGTGGGGGTGGAGATGTCCCCTTCTCCTCTGAATGTTCTCCGGTCCAACCATTCTCATTTCCACATCGCAACTCTGGTCCTCTCTGAGCTGTTGGAAAGTTCTTCCTCCCATCTACCTCCACGGTCCCACTTGACCTCAGCCCATTGCTCCTATCTGCAGTCGCGCAAATAGTCCTGCCTCGCCCTTCAGTCAGTGTGCGTATGCCCAGTGCCTCTTGGGCCCCTTTTCCTGCCCTTCATCACCTCCACATCTCCCTTCAGGGCCCTTACCCAATCCCACACACTCCTGCCTGTTGGGTTATAGGGCTCCAGCTTTGGCCCCAGGACTCTAGTCCGCTTCACGCCCAGAAAGAGGATGGGGGTGCGCAACAACCTATCTGTTCCTTCCCGGCGTTTCCTCTCTTCCTTCACAGGTCGGACTAGCATGTGTCAGATCACCGCGACTTGACAGGACTAGCGTCTGGCCCCCGGCCGCACCTCACCACCCACCCCTCCCGCTGGAGGCAGCATGCTCTGCGCTGCTGCAGCCTCCTTACTTCAACCCTGACCCTGTACCCACGCTCTTCAGTCTCTCCTTCCCCAGCTCTGTCCTCCTCAAGCACGGAAGGCAGAGGAGGCTGAGGCTGAAGCTAATGCCGTAGTGGACACTGCTGGGATGGACGTGTCCCCCTCCCCGGGCCACCATTCCCCCACCCCTTGCCTCCTCCTCCCTGGGAGGGGACAGCAGGGAACCCAGCCCCCACAGCACTCTCCTGGGTGAACAAGAGGAAAGGAATGAGGCAGGTGTGTCTGGCTGCTCCTGCCTACCCCTCCTCCCCGGGGACTCTCACCTGCCTGCCTACCTGCCTGTGAGGCTGTCTTTGGGGGGATGGGGAGAGAAACCCTGTCTTCCACAGAGGCAGAGGGGCTGAGCATGTGGAAGGAAGGCCACGCTGCCTGAGGCCATGTCTGGAAGCTGCTGGGACGCAGACACTGGAGGAGAAGCAGCTGAGGACAAAGTGGGGTCAAATCTCCTAGCTGGGGGGCCTCCTTTCTTCCTCACGCCTCCCCAGGGGCAGGGAGATGTGGAAGAGGGCTAGGGAAATATGGGGGCTTTTGGTAGGCCGGCAGTTGAGAGGAATAAGACATTGTCCTTGTCTGCTTGATCAAGAAGGGTGCCATTCTAGGGTGAACTGAGGCAGACAGCAGGATCCCCAGGTGTGAACAGCAGGAGACTTGGATGAAGAAGGGGAAGTGTTCTTTCCCCAAGGTCCTGCTCCCACCTTCCTCTCTACCACCCTCCTCCTCCTTGAGGGTCTGTTCCAGAAAAACATCAGGTCTGAGAGCCAAGGAAAGTGTGGCACTGAACCAGCTCAGCAGTGCTCTCATGGAGATACGGCAGGGAGAATGTGCTTGCTGACCTGCCGAGGGCATCCTGGTTGGGGATCTGGGGGTGCAAGAGGCCCAGGAAGGATGTCCCCGCCCCCCAGTCTTACACGCCCCCCCTCTCCTCCCCTGCCTGGACTTAGAGAGACCAAAATCCAGACAGTGAGTCTCCTGGCCCTCCCCCGCCACCCTTCTCCCAGCCGCACCTTTAGCCCCACCTGCTCCCTGGGGCACTGGGCTGGGTTGAGCTGGGTCTTGCCCAGGATTACTCCTCTCAGAGTGCCTCCTGTCTCGGCTGCTGGGTGCTGCTGGGCACTGCCACTCACTCTGGCTTGTGGCAGAGGGTTCAGGAACAAGGTGGACTGCTACCAAGGGCTCTTGATCCAGCGCCTTGTCAACATCCCCTGCCTCCATCCAGTCCAGACCCCGTCTCTGGTGTGGAAGACAGCTGTAGTCTCCTAAGTGGCTCCCCTGCTGTCAGTGTGTCCCCCTTCAGCCAGCCCCCCATACACGATCTAGGTAGGAATCGGACCATGACACTCGCCTGCCTAGGACCCTGTCAAGGTTGCCATTCCTCTTAAACAAAATCCCCACTTGTTAGAGCCTAGGACACCTGATGTGACCCTTGCCCTGCACCCCTCTCTTCTCCTACTCATCTGCCCCTTGATTTCTTCACTCCAGCTCCACGGGCCTCTCTCAGAGTTTTGCATTCACATGGCTTCTCCCTGGGAAGCCCTTACCCTCCATGTGCATGGCTCTCTCTTCCTCGTGGGGGGTCTAAGCATAAGTATCACAGCTCCGAGAGGCCTTCCTGGAAAACCCAGTGGCTTTATCCACAGGAGCCCCGCTCCCCCGAAATCACTCTACATCCACCACCCTGCTTTAGCTTCTTCATCACACATAGCATTGTCCGAAATGACCTTGTTTGTGTATTTACTTGTTTATTGTCCACTCCCCCCCGCCAGCATGTAAACTCCAAGAGGGCAGGTGCTGTCTCTTCTATTCACATCTGTGTCCCCAGCACCTTATCGCCTGAAGAGCACCAGGCCACAACGAGTGCAAAATAAATATTTGTTCATTGAATGACGAGGGGCAGAGGCCTGTTGGGCAGGGTGTCTGTGGCCTCTCTAGAGTTACTGTGGCCCAGTTATGTCCATTTCTTCTTTGTAATCCGCTCCCATTCCTTCCCTCCCACTCCAAGGAAACGGTGAGGGGATGAAAGGAGACAGGCCTGGGGTTGCCTGGCTGACACTGCCCTAGGGTGTGGGGCGGTTCTCAGCCCAGCTGAGCTGTCTGAGCTTGGGGCAGAGAGTGGAGAGGCAAATCAGCCCTGAAGATGAAGTCTAGACTTTTCCGTGATTGCAAACCTGATGACCCTCAGAGCTGGGAGGTTCCTATAAGATTTAGTGGTCCAGCCTCCTCTCCCAGGAGCCAAAGTGACTCTGTCAAGACCACAAGCTGCAGAGAAAGGGCCAGTCTCAGGGAGGGGAGCCCTCCGCTCACTTGCAGACGCTGACCCACTCGGTGATGCGGCACTCCTCGCAGACCACGAAGCAGCACCAGTGGAAGCGGCAGTGGCAGCGCTCGCTGCGAGTCTGGCGCAGGATGTTGTGGCCGCGACCGCAGCACATGCTGCCGCAGCCGTCCGGGCCTGTGCTACTCTTGTTGCACAGGCGGCCCACGGTGCCCGCCGAGTCCAGGCGCGGCTCGCGCTCGCAGAAGTCGGGCGACTTCTCGAAATAGACCAGGTCTGCAGGGTTGGCCCTGCGGCGTGGCCCGGGAACGCCCGGGGCCGCAGAGGGTGCCCCCACGGGGCCGGCCTCCAGCTGGCCGCCGTTGCGGTTGTGCGGCCGGATGAGCGTGGCTCGGTGGAAGCGGTTGCGCAGCAGCGCCCCCACCGCGCGGAACTCCGGCGTCACCTGCCAGCACGTCTTGAGCTGGCAGCTGCCTGAAGTGCCGTGGCACTTGCACTTCCGCCGCATGTTCTCCATCACCGTCTGCAGAGGGAGGCACGGTGAGAGGCAACGCCTGCGGCCAGCCCCACAGCCCTCCTTCCAACACAAGACACTGGCCTGTGAGAATCAGAGGCTTTTGGAACCAACTCCCATTGAACAGAGGCAAAAGCTAAGGCCGAAGCGGGGTTGGGGGACGACGGGGTGGCACACCTCCTGAGCCAGGCTGTCCAGAAAGAAATCTGCCTGCTCCTCTGCTGCTCTGGCACCCACCTCCCACCAGGCCAGGCCCTTGGGGAATTCCCTCCTTCCTGCTCCCCCTCCTCTCCTGCCCGCCTTTCTCAGCACCTGCAGGGGGCCCTTGGGGCGGGAGGCTCTTGCTTCCTGAGGGGGGATCCCAGATCCTCAGGGAAATTCCCTCTCCTTCCATCCCTCGGTGGGGGCCAAGAGCTGGCGTTTGCTGCCCCCACTACATCCCACCCCCATAGCCTCTGGCCTTGCTCCAGGCTGTGAGTCTCGGCTGCAGGGAGTCTGAGAAAGCCCCTTTCCTTCCCTGGGCCCTGCAAGCTCCTGAGGCTTAAGGAGGCGGGAGGGACAGGGGAGACACCCTTTCCCCCCCGAAGTATACTAGCTGGGGCTTATTCTGCCCAGTGCCACAGTTCCCCCCTAGAAAACAGGGAAACCAACAGGACCCAAGGGCTTTCCTTGAATGCAGAATGGGAAGAGACCCCAAAGAGCCAGACCCTCCACCCACTGAAAGGAGAGAGGTTCCCAGACCTCCAAACGGGGTGGTTAGGGAACCTGCCCACAGCCTGCCCGCTCTCAACCTGCTCTGGAGTCTCCTCCCCAAGAAGCCTCACCCGGGACCCAGAGGGAGTTGATCCCACCCTTCTCTCCCACCATCCCACTTCAGAAACACCCTCAGACAGGGAGAGCAGTGCCCTGAGCCCCCCAACCTGGGCATCAGGGCCATGAGAGAGTGACCCCGTCCTCCAAGTTTTAAAGGACTCCTGACGCCTGCGGTGTCAGCACCACGTGGGAACCAGCCCGATGTCTGCCCTGGCCAACAGCTCCAGAACATCTGCTTCCCACAGGCAGCAGCCATTAATTAACCAGTTTAACGAGGAGGAGGAGGAGGTGCTGCTGGTAGGGCTGGGATGGTATTGAAGCTTGGGGAGAGAGCTGTATGGATAGGGCAGGGCTGGGGGGGGGGGCGCTGGGCTGGACCTGAGGGCGGACATGCCTCAGTTTACCTCACCTCTAAGTCAGAATGGGAAGAACTGAAGCAGCTGAGAGTTTTTGTGGAAGGAGAAGGTGAACCAGCCTGGGTTGAGAGGCCAGGAGAAAGGGGAGTGAGATGGAAAGGGTGCCAGCCAGAGTGAGGGGGAGCCAGGACTGAGGCCTGAGCAGGCCTGGCGGGGCGAGAGAAGGGGTGGAGGCCAAGTAATCAGGGAAGGAAGGTGCTGAACTACCACAAGGGCTAGGAGGCACCTTAGTGTGGGTGTGCACATAGAATGGGCTGCGCTGTAAGCACCACAGCACGGCCTCGGAGCTCAGCTGCCCGGGGGGCTGCATCCTGCCCCTACCACTTTCTCACTGGTTACACCCCCTCGTGCAAGATTAGGCTCTCTGTGCCTCAGTTTCTATGTCTTAACCTGAGGTTCATAATAGTACTGTCAACAGGAAGTTGTATGGATTAAACAGGCTGGTGTGCAGTCGAGTGCTCCAAACAGTGCCTAACCTATAGTAAGCACTCAGTGAATCCAGTTTACTATTACTTTCATTTGGTCTCTCTCTCTCTCAAATGAATGAGACCTTTGAGTTAGTGTGAACATTTGAGGGTAGGGGAGCCTAGAGCACAGTTCCACAGCAGTCCCTGGGAACCGCACTTTGAGGAGTTCCCCATCTGCACAGAAAGGTTGGGAGAGGAGGGGGCGCAGCAGAGGATGTCACAAAGTCATGGAACACTAGAGCTGATGGGCCTCACAGGTAATCCAGTCCAAACTTCCCACTTTAAAGGGGAGGAGAGAGGGTGGCAGAGCCCGGCCGAAAGCCCTGGGGTCTGCCTGCAACCCTGTCTTTCACCGTTGTTCCCAGAGGGAGTGGGCAGAGCAGGCTGCTCAGCAGAGGGCCAGTGAATGAGGGCACAGGCTGTTTCTGCCCTCTGTCCCCAGGCCTGACGAGGTGTCTAGCACACAACAGGTATTCAGTGCATGTTTGTTCACTGAATTAGGAAGGGACAATGAGAAAATTGCTGAGTTAGGGTTGCCCTGTGGTCCCCAGAGGAGAGGTAGGTTGGGGGGGGTTGTTGGGGGCCGGGTGGGGGGCAGGGCTTGGCAGAGGGATTTGGCGCAGAGGAAGGGGATAGGGAAGGTAGCTCTCACCTGCCTCCCAACTCGGTTGTTGTGAAGCCTCATGCGTGCGTGGATGTCTCGGTGAGGCTCCCGGGAATCCAGAAAGTCCTTAGAGAAGCGTTCCCCAAAGCCCACGTCCGGGCTACAGCCACCCCACTCCCAGGAGTCCTGCAGGCCAGGGCTGGCGGGGGGCAGGGCTGGGTGTTCGGGAACCCCATGGCTCAGGCCCTTACCGCGCTGCAGCGCGTCCAGCTGCAGGCGGTGCAGCTTCCGACGGAAGGCCTCCTCATCCCCGCGCCGGGACGCGTCGCAGCCACACGCCCGCAGTTTGCCCAGGGCGCAGGCATTGGACACCGCGTGCACTACGCCGGCTGCGGCGATGGCGTAGGCGAAGGCACTCTCTCGGAAACCTGCGGGTAGAGATTCAGGAAACACAGACTCTGATCAGACAACCCATCCCTCTGAGTTCCCTACTCAGTCTTCTTACCATACAGTCCGGAAACGGAGGCCCAGTGTTGGGGGAAGGTCTGTTACAGGGCGCAGAGTCAAAGGGGGTGAGAAATCACATCGGAAGTTCAGCACAGAGGCTGGAGTGGCAGAGGTCTCCTTTTCTGCACTCCCTTCTCCGTTTCACTAACACCACCCCCTCGCAAGCTCAGAATTTGTGTCCGCATCTCTCTCGTTGGACAGAAAGTATCTGGGAAACATTCTTTTGAAGATCAGGTACTTCATCGACTACCTCTCATGTGAAAGTTGCACTTTAACAACACGCCTGCAGAAAGAAGGCAAATGCAACCAAAAGAATAAGTTACTGGCCACAGAATCCCAGGCTGTAGGAAATGGTAAGGGGCAAAAGGGTAAATCAGAGGAGCTGGAGTCCGCCTACAGTTCCTGGGCTCAAGACTGATGCCTGGTGCCCCCTCAGGTCCACCCCAGAACGCGCTCTGAGGCCCAGATGCGAGAGGCAGAGAAAGGCACCAGCAGCGTTTCCTCCTTTGCTGTCCACGGGACACCCCTGAAAGTCTGCTCTGAAAAGGTCACCACCCAGCCACCTGGGGTGAGTCTAGGTCAGCGGAGGTTGTTTCAGGGGTGCTGGGGTCAAGGGGTCAAACACACAGTAGTGTTGAAAACCGAGAGGGGAGGGGAGCTAAGGCAGACACTTCTCCTGGGATGCCCAGGGGACACGAAGACTCCCTGATGAGCCACTCTCAGGGGCTCAGGGCTGGACCAGCCTGGCCACTGCCTTGCCGACACTGCTGTCCTCCTTGGTGTGCCCAGCCTGAGCCGTTCTCTGGGAAAGCCCGGGTATGTCTGGGACTGTGGCAGAGGAAGGCCTATTTGCAGAGGAGTGTCTGGCTCCTGGACCCACAAGCTGCTTCTTGCTTATTCTGCATCTGAGAACGGACTAGTGAGGAGCAGGTTCTGGTACAAGTTTCTGACCAGGCTCTGAACCTACGTGGGCAAAGGGAGAAGCCAAGGGCAATAATAGCCCACATACAAGGAGGAGACTCTACCTGCTGAGGAAGCCCAAACCTGGCCAGAGACTGATGGCCTTGGGAGAGGTCAGAGGTCCAGAGGAAAAACTCTGGGTCTTTCTAGCCCAGCGCCAAGGACTGGGAGGGCATACTCTGGAAGGACTCACAGGCCTGAAGAGCTGACCAGGACTGGACAGAGACCCCAGCCTGCTCCTGCCCCCAATGCTCACCATCTGCATCTCAGGGCCTGTCCACCTCTTCCTGCCCAGCCAAAGCAACAACAGAAAAAGGGAAAAGATACACAGTAGTAGTTAAGAATATGAACTCTAGCCATGGCTGGTGTAGCTTGGGCCTTCGAACCAAACAACCGTGGTTTGATTCCCGGTCAGGGCACATGCCTGGGTTGCAGGCCAGTTCCCAGCAGGGGACACACAAGAGGCAACCATACATTGATATTTCTCTCTCTCCCTCCTTCCTTCCCTTCCCCTCTAAAAATAAATAAATAAAATCTTAAAAAAAAAAAGAATATGAACTCTAAAGCCAGATTTCTGGTTCAAATCTTGTTCTCTTCCACTTACTAAATGCCAATAGCTATGAGACCTGCCTTCCCTGTACCTCAGTTTTCTCATCTGTAAAACAGGGTTATTTTATTATCTGTCTCATTGTTGTTCCAAGAATTAAATGAGTTACTAAATTTAAAGTGCTTAAAATAATACCATACTCATAATAAGCAGTGTATAAACCCTAGCTATTATTGAGGACTTCTTGCTATCTGACCTCACCCACTATTTCTATAGTTTCTGGACATTGTTTTTAGTGTCCCTGATCAGGGACAGAGCCTAGAAGCTCATGACCCAGTCTAGAATAAGTCACCTGGGCCACCAGAAACCATAAAGCAGACTGTCCCTCCTTATCTATTTCAGCTCAGGTCATCTTGGGAGCAGACAGGAAGGGATGGGGATGGGGATGGGGCCTTCGAAGGGGGTTCTGGGAATCGGCGGAGCCGCAGAGGAACAGGCACTGCTCTGGGAGGTGGGGCCCAGGGAAGAGGAGGGCAGACCCCAGCTGGAGAGCACAGCCTGTGTATATGCATTGCCTTTTGTCTGTGGAACTACGAAACACTTCTCTTACTGCTGAGGCGGTCATCAGCCCATTCCTAGGATGAATGGCAATACTCAGACCTCCAGAGGCAGCCCCGGTCTCAGAAATCTCCACACCACACACACACAGTGCAATAAAGGGATGCCCAAGGTCACAGGGGTTATGAAGCTGGACCCAACTCCCAGGCCTGACAACTTTCTGGTGAGAGACATTTAACTCTAGGGAAGACCTGCTGCTGAATGAGAAACCCAGGTAGCCCAGTTCCCAGTTCCCATGGCCTTGCCTGTGCATGGCACCAGGAAAGAGCAAGAGGCTGGTCCAGCGCTGGCTGGTGTGGCTCAGTGGACTGATCGATGGCCTGTGAACCTAAAGGTCACCGGTTCAGTTCCCAATCAGGGCACATGCCTGGATTGCAGGCCAGCTGGGGGCATGTGAGAGGCAAATGAGCAGCCAATCCATGTTTCTCTCCCTTCCTTTCCCTCTCTCTAGAAATTACTTTTTCAAAAAAGAGAGAGGCTGGTCCAGGGGGATGTGCTGGGCCCACCGCCATCCTCCAGGCTCTGTTACATTCAAGGCGGGCTGGAAGGATCTGGAGAAATGTAGCCCACAGCCTGCAGGAACGTCCATGCCTACCCTCCAGCAGCAAAAGAAACCGTCCCCTGGACTCCAGGAGCTGCCACGTGTAGGTGTGTCCAGGCAGGGTTTGTGTGGCCATCTTTCCTTCTGAGAATCTAGGCCTCAGAGAAGTCCAGCCCCCCGGGTCTGCCCCCAGCTCCCATTCAGGGCCCCAGTTTCGGTCCTGGCCCCGACTGTCTGGGGCAGACGCAGGCACTGTGCCATCTGGCCAGCTGGAGGGGGAGAGGGTGGGGCCACGGCCAGCTGGGCTGCCCCGAGCATTGGTGGGGGGGGGCTCGTTAAGACGCACAATTAGCCGCCCTGCCTTTGATCTGGGACAGGGACTGCCAGCATCTAAGTGGAGTCAGCTGCTGCTACAGGCTGAAGCCAACGGCCAGGAAGGGACTGTGGGAGGAGGTCTGGAGGGTAGGGGAGTGTGGAGGAGAGGGGGTTCGGGAGCCAGTGGGAACCAGGGGAAACCAGGAGGGTCCAGAGAAGCTCGAGTCCTGTGCATGTGAATCAAAGAATCGGGGAAGGTGAGAGGTCTGGTCTCCATTCCCCCTGTGCAAATAATCTGTGCGTGCTCGTGTACCTGGGTTGAGAGAGGAGAGTTGTGTGCATATGGGAACACTTATGAGAATTGTGGCTACATGTTCTCTCAGACATGGGTAGGGGTGTGTGTGTGCGCGTGCATCACTTTCATTTCTGGGCACACGGTGATGGGGGAGGCGGTAGGACAGAGGTTGGGCGCAATCTCTAGTCAGCTGGCCTGCACCGGAGCCCTGCTTCTGCAGCTCACTTACAAGCTGTGTGACTAATCCTCTCTTAGCTTCATGTGTAAAATGAGGATAATAACAGGACCGACTGAGTGGGGACTGTTTGAGGGCCCTAAAGTATAGATAAAGGGCTTTAGAAAAGTGCCTGACACACAGCGAGTACGTAGTATGTGGTGGCTGATTTACTGGCTGCCATTAGACTGATAGGACCTTAGGTAACCCTGGGATATGACTGTCTGTACCTCTGTGTCCCCACTGAGTGCTACCACATACCCCGAGCCTGGAGACGAGACGTAGGCATAAAACCAAGACTCTCTGAGCATGGATGTAAAAGGGAGGTGGGAGAAGAGCAAGCCAGGGCCTTGGGGAACAGAGGCCGGGCTCTAATTTGCTGGCTGCCCCTGCGCTGGGACCCTGGCTTGCTGCAGGGCCTCACACACCCTCTTTTCGAATAGGTCTGGGCTGCAGGGAGGGCGTGCCTAAACTGCGTGGGACCTCCAGGAGCTGCTCCCTGAATGTCCTTCACTCCCTCCATCGAGCCCCCCTCTCTGTCCTCTCATCTCCTTTCACTCCAGGGCCCAGGTCCAGTCTGAGGCAGCTCTGTCCCCAAATCTCCCGCAGGTCCTTGCACCCTGAGTGAGAGACCCGTGGGTTCCTCTGGGCCTCCAGGGAAGGACTCCCCTCCAGCTGACATTCTGCCCAGCACCCCACCCACCCAGGCACCAACCCTCTGGGTCCTAGAACAAACAGCTGGGGACACCAGTGCCCTTGGCACTTAGGTCGCAGCCTTTTTCTGACTCCAGCCCCCTAGAGGCCCCTCTCCCGGTCCCCCAGTCCCAGGCTCCGGCACCACTACCCCCGTCCTCTCTTTGGCTAGGTAAAGCCCTGTTACGAACCCCGCCTTCCCAAGCACCTCCTCTGGGTTGCCAGTCTCCTTCCTTTCTTCCTCTGTGCCACATTAGAACCCTACCCCCTCAGCCCAACCCACCTGGAGGACAATTAGATGACAGTAAAAGCATTAAGATGGAAGCCGCACGTCTCCCAGCAGTCCCTATTTTAAACATGGCAAAATACCCCCTTCAGAATCCCCACTGGCGGCCTGGGTCAGAATGGGGCTCTGCATCCCGCTGCTCCACCTGGGAGAAACTGAGGTCACCCGACCCCACAATGGACAATCCATAGCTTAAAAAGAAGTGAAATTTGGGAGGGCCCCAGACTACGGGCTGGGTGCACCAACAGTGATCCCACGGGGCTTAAATTTAGCTAGTTCTCGAGGCGACAGGCCAAGACGGACCAGGAACTAATGAACGGGATGTGGCCTAAGGGAGGGGCAGAATGGAGGTTCTTCGAGGGAGGAGTGGGATTTCCTTCCAGAAGCCCAGAGTCCCCTACTTCAGGGAGAGGTACAAATGAGGTGTCGCAGTTCGGGAGCAGAAGCCCAAGAGGTGAGGGACGACGCTGTTCTGAGGCCGGAGGAAGGAGCCCAGCTTCCCTGCCGGGACAGGAGCCGCTGTCCCACCCCCTCCCCGCTTGGGGCGCCGCCCCGCCCGGCTAGCCCTGGCAAGTCTCCCCCTCCACCCCTAACCTCTCCCCCCACCCGTCCCCCCAGCTCACCTCCCGCTTATTAAACTGCAGGTGAACCCGGGAGCGCCTGGCGCCGAGCCAACCCCGCGCGGTTGCACCGCTCGCAGCTCGCCCCCCGTGTCCAAAACCTCGCGTTCGCCACCAGGCCTCGCGGGCCTCCCCGGGCGCAGCCACTAGGACGCCTGGCTTCATGACAGGGGACCGGAGGGCCCGAGGGGAGAGGGGACACCGAGGCCCGGGAGGGGTAAAGAGCTTGCTTTGCCTTGACCTTTCGGAAAGGACAGGGGTGTGAAGCTCAGCGCCCGCCCGAGTCCCCAGAGGGCGAAACCGAAGCGAGGGCAACGGTGTCCTCCCCGCCGGGCCCGAGCGCTGGAGGGAGACCGAGGCTTCGGGGTACGCGGATGACCTAGAAACCCGGAGTGGGAGCGGGCGCGCGGCGGCGACCAGAGCCGGCCCGGCCCGGCCGGGGCAGGAAAGGTGCAGAGGCCTGTCGCTTCGCGCCGCCAGCGCGGGCGTTGGGGCGGGGCGGGGCGCCGGAGGGGCCGGCCAGCCGGGGTCCGCGCCCGCCGCGCTCGGAGGGCTGGGGAGGCCGGAGAGCGGCGCAGCGGGCGGGGCTGGAGCTCAGGGCCGCGGGTGGGGGCGCCCCTTTGAGAGCAGCACGGCTGGGCCCGGGAGCCGTCTGCCGCGGCCCGCAGGGGATTAGTTCGCGGCTGCATGCCGCCACACGCGTCGGGCTGGGCTCAGCCAGGGAGAAACAGCGCCCCGGGCTCGCGGGGGAGGCGGGAGGGAGAGCGCGCGGGGGCGGGGCGGGCGGCCTGGGGATGGGCTGGGGGAGACCGGCGTGGCCCCTGACTGGGGGCCCAGGGAAAGGTCGGAGGGGTCTGGATGAAAAGGGAGGGGCCGTGGCTCTCTAAGTTCTCCCTGAAGTCGGGGTACAATGGAGTCCGATTCTCCCAGAAGCCTCAGGTCCCAAGCCCAAAGGGTGTAAGGGTACGCCTCCTTCCTCCTCCACTGTCAACTGAGAATTGGACAAGTCCCAAGGAGCGGGGTCTCCACACTACCCCACCCAAACAGCTGAGAGGGGACGCAGTTGGGCCCATCCACGGGGCAGGACCCCATCTTCCCCAAAAGACCTGACTGAAGGCCTGAGACACCAACACGGGAGGTGGTTCTGAGCAGGGCCCAGTGACAAAACCTCCCTTGACCTTCAGCCCAAGCCATTCTATGGGTTGCCCAGGTGAGACCTGGATCATCCAGCGGTGGGGAGGGGGACAGGAGTGGGCTTCAGGTTCTCTGAGTTGTGAGGGAAAAGGGAAGTGGCAGGGCCACTAGGCCTGCTGGGCTGCAGGAGGGCGAGAATGTGCACACACACACACACACACACACACACACACCCAGCACCTCTGATTCAGAGAGTTCTCCAAGGTGGCGAGGTTAACACAGAGGCTGGTGGTGTACCCTGCTGGGAAGAGCTTCTTCGGGAGCACAGACCTTTTACCTGCCCAGGCTTCCCTCACCTACGCCATTTGGCAAAAGTCCCCAACCCCTCTTCATGCTGATTCTGGGCACTTTATTATTACTCACAGGCTTGCCAACCTCAATGCTGTATGCTAGGTAGGGGGTAAAGTGAGGCAGATCACAGATGCAGATATTTCTGAGCCTGAGATACCCAGTGTCAATGACAGGACAGGATAACCCATGAGTCCAGTTCTCAGGCATGGGACCTGTCACCCTTGGGCCACACAGCCCAGCCGGGAGCCACATCTGACCCATTTGTCTGCCTGGGGGTGGGGGGGGTTGAGGGAGTGGGTTCTGAGGTGGGGGTGCTGGATGGAGAGGGGAGAGGGGCAAGATGAGGGGCAGCTACCTCTGCTGAAGATGGGACTCTCGTAGGGGATCTTATTTCGCGTCTCGAGACTGGAGCAGTTCCAGCGCTGGTCCCGGAACTGGTGCTGACACTCGTGGATGGCGATCTGGATGCCCTGGATGGCGGAGGCCGCCACATCAGGGTGGCGCACGCACACCTCCATCTGCCGCCGGCTCAGGCCGGGCAGCGTCAGGCACACGGTGTTGGCGTTGAGCACGGGCTCCGGGGGGAGGCGGAGGCCCAGAATGTCATTGGGTGCAGACCTGCAGGTGTGCGGGAGGGGGGTGGGTGAGTGAGTGGGGGACCAGGAGGACCCCATCTAAACGTACACAGTCTGTCCCCAAGGCCATAGTCCCCGTATTTCACCCTTTGCCTTTTAGGTTTGGGCCTGTCAGTGTGCCCCTAGAGCATTCTCCTTTCCTTGACCTTCTCACCACTTCCAAGAAAACCCACCGAGCTGCCCGCCTGCCCAGGGTAACGTGTGCAGACGCACAGGACCAGAATGGCTGCACACACCGTATTTAGTAAGTGCACCCCTGGGCAGAGCTGCTCGCATGCACCGCCTTCCCCAGAAGGCTCTTACAGACGTATTGCAGAGGGTCATAGTCTCAAAGACACGCTTCTGCACAGTGAGGGGCACACCCAGACCCAGGACATCGACACACATGCACACTTCATCAGACATAGTCACACACATGGACAAAGACGCACAAATACACACCACGCTCATTTTGCACATTCACCCAGGAGTGCTCACATGTGCACATGCAGGCTGCTGTTCACAACATAGCTTTCTGGGCTCACTCACACACACATACACACACATGCACTGAACATGTCCACCTGCAGTCTCTCACTGACCCCGCCTGGGCTACACCCTTCCAGCCCCCAACCCCTGTCCCTGCCTGTGGGCCATCTCCAAGGTGGAGCAAGACAGTTGGAACTTCCTGGGGTGGGGTGCATTCCCCCGGCACAGAACTCTGACTTGGTACTTGCTCCCCGCCCCCCGTGCACACACACCTTCCCTTCTAGTAGCCATCATTCTGCTGGGCACTGCCCCGTCTCCTTGGACTGCCCATATTCTGTCACCGGCTCAACGTCCTCCTCTGAGAGCACTTTCATTGGGCACCAGAACTCTCCTGCGACACTGTCCCTCCCTCCTTCCAGGGTCCCGTGCCCCAGCAGGAGCGCCAGAGGCCCCTGTGGCTGGGGGTCCCAGCTCTCCAGGAGGGCGGAGCATAAGGTGAGGGCTCACCTGGGCAGGGCGGCAGCCAGCAGCAGGAGGAAGAACAGGAGCGCGCACAGCGCGGGCCGCGGCTGGGGCCCGGGTCGGAGGAGCCGCAGCCAGGGGCAGGGGTGGGTGCTGCCCATGGCGCGAGGGCCGTGACGCGCGGGGAGTGGGGGGCTCACAGCCCAGCTGGACTGGCGAGCCAGGGGCGACGGCGCATGATCCGCGGGGGTCGGGGCGGCTGCGACACACGGCTCCGACTTGGGTCACGGCTCCGGGAGCAGACGGCGCCCGCCTCTCCGCTCCATGGGGCAGCGCCCCCGGGCACCGCCCCCGGGGGGGGGTGGCGGGCGGGCACACCGGGCACCTCCTGGCACAGGGGTCCAGGGAATTTCCCGAGGCCCCCCTGCGACAACTCCTGGTGCCTCTGGAGTGTAAGGGGGGCCCGGATGTGCTGCGGGCTGGGGACGAGAGGCTGGGGTGCCGGGGAGCCCCCCAGCGCTGCGCCGCGAGCCTGTGCTTCCGAGGGCGTGTAGGGCGGGACGGGGTGGGGGCTGGAGGGGGGGCGGCGCTGGCTGTGCCCGGCCCCACCGCCCAGAGAGTGACTGTCCCGGCTCCCGGAGCTCCGCCGACTCCCCTCCCCCCGTCCCCCCTCCCCGTGTCTCCGGGCTGTACCCCACGTGACGTCACGATGGGGTGGGTGGAGGAGTGTACGCGACTTGAGGCCACTGCGTCCACTCAGGATTCTGGGTGGGAGCGGCCACGCGGCGGGCAAAGGAAGGAGAGGTGTTGGAGTGTGTGCGCGCAGGCACGGGGAGGTGCCAGTGCGCGGGACGTGCCGGTTTGTGTCGGAAGGTGTGTGTTACTGGGGGGTGTGAGTGCCTGGCTGAGATGCAGCTGCCGGGGAGCGGTCCCCCTCCCTGCCCTCTCCGCCGATATACACACCTGCAAGGGCTGGAGGGGAGAGGTTGGCCCCTCTGCTCGCCTCCCCCACCTCAGGGGGACTTCCCGGGCTTGGCTGGTGAGGCAGGTGTGGGATCCTGCAAAGGGGTTTGGCAGCTTCTGGATCTTGCTCTTCTTCGCTGTATGACCTTAAGCAGGTGCCTGCCGCTCACGGAGCCACCCTCCTTCCCTTCCTGAACCGGGATTAAGGAGGCCCACCCCATCTGGTCACCTCCTCTAGCCAACGAAGGTAAAACTGCTAGGACTCCAGCAGCAGAAGCTCGTCTGGGAGCAGAGCACACAGGGTGCCACAGCCTGGGAGGGAGGAGGGAATCAGAGAGCCTTTTAATCCTAAAAGTGGGCTTTGAGGTCAGCATATTTCATCCTCTTTTATATTACATGAAAATATTGAGGCTCAGAGAGGGTCATGACTTACTCAAGGTCACACAGCAAATAGGAGGAAGAGCTGTAATCAAACCCAGTTTGCTCGACTCTGCGCACAGCGGCAACTGCCCAGGCACTGGATACTGCTCGCCAAGGTCCTGCTTTCAAGCAGGACTCCAGGTCTTGCCCTGGCTCTGCCATCTCTGATTGGTCCTCTGGGAGCTCCCCAACACCAGCCTCCTGGCCCAGGCCACTCCTCTCTGGGGTCCTTCCTGCCTTCCCTCCATACCTGTACGCTGGGCTGAGTGTACTGGACCCAGGCAAGGGCCTGAGAACCAGAGGGTTGGGGACTGAGGCTTCAGCTTCTGGTTCTGGTTCTAATCTGGGCCTTGACAGTGAATCCTAACTCTCCCTGTGGCCTTAGCATCCTCCTCTGTAAAATGGGTACAAGCCTCCCACTCCATGCACACCTCCCTCCCAGCCACACTACTCTCTGTCTCTCTGAAGTGAGGCCCCTACTGGTTTAAGGACAAACTACAGGGACCTCTGGCTCAGAGACAAAAAGGGGCCCTTTCTTGGAACTGGCCGTTCCTGGGGACTTGGAGGGGAGGGCGGGGCCTCCACTGTCCCCAGACTGTCAGGTGGTGGAGGCAGCCTGAGCAACAACAGGCCGACAGCATGCTCCTCATTTTGCTCCTCCATTTCTGCCGGCAGGCACTGCAGCTGTCAGGAATTAAGGGCTTGAGGCTGCTGGGGGTGTGTGGGGGGGTGTGTGGGGAGCAGTCTGGCTGGACAGCAGGAAAACAGCCGGGGGCTGGGAGCCGTCTGCGTCAGCCAGAGCCTTGTTTGACCCCATCCACCCTCCCCTCTGCACTCTCTCCCACCACGCTGCAGGCACAGGGCGTTCGGGAAGGGTATGGGGAGAGACAGGGCAGGGCCGGGCTCAGCCCAGGAAGAAAGCGTGAGCCCAGGGTGGGAGAGGGCACCAGCAGGGGCAAACGGGGCTGAGGAGTCATGCTCCCATTGGCTGCTGGGGAAACTGAGGCCCAGAAAGGATTAGGAACACACTCCGTGAGGAATGGGACACAGTGAATGGGTTCCTAACCCTCCTTACTCCTCGTCTAGGGCTCACACTAGCGTTTCCCATGATCCACCCATCACAGATACCCGTTGGGGTGGGCCATTGTGGGAAATAACGATTCCATTCCCAAGCGGCTGAGTCATCCTTTCCAGGGACAAGGCCTGGGGGGCTGAATTTCTAACTGGCATCCCCAGTGATTTTTGCGAGGACCACATTTGGGAAACACTTCTGATCTGCTTGAGGGACTGACTTTTTTGCCCTCGGCCTCCCTGTCATGAGGGAGGATCTCCGTGCTCTCCCACCCCCTCCTGTTCATGAACTACGCACATGTACAGGAGAGGGAGAAGACCCTTTCTCTGAAACCCCAGCAGGCAGGGAAGGATGCCCACGCCTTGCTTGCACTGGGGCGTGGTTCTGGACTGACGTCATGAGGGTTTAGAAGCACCCAAGCCTGGGGCAACCCTTCGCACTTCAGGGAGGAGAGGGCATATGTAGGCATAGGGCCTTGGCCTACGTGCAGACGAAGCCCAGAAAGAGTGTCTGGCCTAGCCCCATGTGACCCATGCCATGGGCAGCCCCCTGGCCCCACCCTGGCCCTGCCCTGGGCTCTGGCCCTCAGCCCAGCCCCGGCCCCCGCAGCCGCAGCCTGAGACCACAATTACAGGGGCCACTGGGGGTGGGGGAGCACCAGGCAGCTTGGAGAATGGTTCCAGCTGTGGCGGCTCTGGAGGCGCTTTCAGGGAAGGGCGAGCTGGGGAGGCACCAGGGTGAGAACAGGTGGGACCTGCGGCCCTGATGCTCTCCAGAGAGGTTTGTCTTGGTGAGAGGGAAGGAGTTCCACACTGATAAGGGAGCACTTTGTCCTACTGCCTGGGTCTCTGGGGCCACTTCCCCTCAGCAAGTTGAGGGAGCATAGCTTGCTGCTTCAGTCTCCCCGAACGCCTAAATTGTTCTGTCATTGAAGGGAAGGGCAAATGTTTTTTTGAGCCCTCTCGAGCCTTCCAGGTGCCGCCCGCCCAGATGCCTGCATATCTGGCTGTCCCTGAGATGGTCGCACACACACCTGGAGCATCTCTGTGCTCTTCTCCCATCTCCATGGTTCCACGTGTCCTCTGTCACTCAGTCTTGATGGCCCGGATTGTGCCTGGGACTGAGCAACTGGGCCAGCAAGGGGGAGGGGCTGCGATGGGGCATTTCTGAGCTCTGTTTTGAGCCCCCTTCCCAGGCAGCAGTGCAAGAGCACAGAGCCATCTCTGAACTTAAAGGACCAGGCTAATGGTCAAAATGGTGCCTCTCAGGCCCTCATTATCACTCTTCGCAGATGGTGGTTCCCAGACTCCTGCTGGGCTGAGTCACAGAAGATGGGCCACTAACATGTGACTAGCAGTTAAAAATTGCAGTGGACTCTCACGTGCACTAACAAGCTACCAGGCACCCCCATTTTGTGATAGGAAAACTAAGGCTCAGAGAGATTAACTAACTTGGTCAAGGTCAAGCTAGCAAACCAGGCCTTTTTTTCACTGTATTATGCTACTTCCTCTGAATTCCTTTTAACCTGCTTGGGTTGGTAATAGTGCATGCTGCTGCCTCAGTTTCCCTCTCCGACATCACCCACTCCATACACTCCCTAACTTCAGGACCTAGGAGTAAATACGGGGCAGGAGGCACCCCAGACAGTCCGGAACGCTAGCAGCTTGATCCAAGCTGTCTGTGGATCTCTGCTTCTTTTCATCCTACCCTCTCCCACCTACCACTTCTGACCTGTCAGCTGGTCCCTTTCACAGGGAAACGGGGCTCTGTGCACCCTCTGGTGGTCTCTGAGAGAAGTACAGGAGATTATTTTTAAAATACCCATTGCAGACCTCTGGGGAAAAGCAGAGCCCTGAATATAAACCCTATCTGTAGGGAGTTTCCTTTGGCCTCTGCGTGGCCCACAATGCCAGGTCCACTTTTTCCCCTTGGTAAGTTATCCAAGCCCACTTGGGTCGAGAAGTTCTGAGTCCAAATTCTCCATGCCACGTCCCTAATGTCCAGGCATTTGACCTAAGGGAGCCAGGAGAAACAGGAAGGAAGACCCAGGTGCCCCCTCCTTCCCACAGGAACCTATCCCCACCCCCTCTGCGTAAATGCCACACTCTGGGCCCCCCACCTGACCTTTGAGGGCTGAACCAGGCCAGGTCGTAGCAGTGGCTGGAGGGGCACTGCAGCGGAAGACATGCACTGAAGGCCATGGTTAGGGTCCGTCACATCCAGGGTGTTTCCCTTCCTTGCCTTTCATTTGAAGAACTCTGCTGTCCTTCCTGTACCCCTGTGCCCCGTGGTCTTAGGGGGGCTGCCATTCCTGGTCATAGCAGAACATCTTCCTGGATGCTGTCATTTGTGCAGGAATAGGCAAGGGACCCAAGCTGACCCAGCCAGGACTGCTTTCTCAGGACCTCTGCTGGGAAGGCCTTTCTTTTCACAAGCTCTAAGAAAGCAGACATAGAGCTGCCATTTGGAGAGAGTCTATCTGCAGCAGGAGCGAATAAGGATGGCGTGGAAAGAGAGGCAGCGACCCTGGCCGGGTGGCTCAGTCGGTTAGAGTGTTTGCGCCAAGGTTGTGGGTTCGATCCTGTCAGAGCACACATAGGAATCAACCAATGGATACATGAATAAGGGGAATCACAAACTAATGTTTCTCTCTCTTTTTCCTTCTAAAAATCTATTTAAAATGAGAAAGGAGAGGTAGAGATAAGCAGAAACGATAGCTGTAGGGGCGCGGTGGGGGTGGGAGAAGAGACTTATGACATCCTTTGGGACCCTGGGTTCAGCTGTGCCTGAATTCAGTCTTACCCCTGGACTTGCCAAGGATAAGACTCGTTAATTATTTTTCTTTGGACCAAGCTAGTCTGAGTTGGGTATCTATTTGCAATCATTTCCTGCCTAATGCCTTCAAAAAAAGTTATCTTTGTATCCCTATCCTCGCAGTAACTACCATTTCTGAAGCATAAATTTGACATAACTTGTGGTGTCCAATGCTGTGCTGCGTGCTTTGCATAGTTCAAAAACACCCTTTCCACACGTCTATGAAGACATGGGATGGATTACAATGGCTGCACACCCTTGGCCACTCTCTCATTGAGAGGTGGAGTCTAGTTCCCCTTCCCTTGAATTTTGGCTGGTTCTGTGACTTGTGCCGATCCATAGAGAGCGACAGCAAAGCTGTGTAACTTCTAAGACTGGAACCGAAGAACAGACTGGCAGCTTCTGCCTCCCAGTTTGTCACGGTCAATTTTGCAAACCAGCCTTAGGTAAGAAGCCCAACTACGCTGAGGCCACCATGCTGTGAGGAAGCCCAAGCTCAGCACATGGAAAGCAGGAGGCTACCGGAGAATCTTGGAGGCACTAGACATGTATGAGTGAAGCCCCGGGGACTGTTCAGCCAGCCTGGCCCAGCTTCCAGTGGGGTCCAGTTAACCAAATGACCACAGCCAATAGTTCTGCGCTAAGGGGCAGAACCACCAAGCTGAGTTTTGACAAATTCCTGACCAAAAGGATTGTGAGAAGTAGCTACGTTGGGGTTGTTTGCTGTGCATAGAAAACTAAAACAGTGTGATGCTCCCATTACACAGGTAAAGAAATTGAGACTCACACGATCTGCGCTGTAAACTTCTAGGCAGCAACACCAGCTTCAGACATAACTAACTACCCTTCATACCTCGATGGGAGCATTTATAGTATTTGGACTATGAGAAAATCGGGAGCTTTGAACCCCAGCCGTTCAGCCTTGCCCTCCCCTCTTCTCTCTGAGAGGAGGATGAGGACATGAAGTTCAGCTTTGGAGAGCCAAGATCCTCAACCCCCTCCTCTCTTCCCTCCACAGTCACATCAGCTTCCTGAGAAAGAACAGGAAGGAGGGGAACGTAGGTGGGCCCCAGGAGAAATCTTGGGACAACTTTTCTTTGTCCCTCCTTCAGAAATGCTGTTCAGAGTCTTTTCAGTGTTAATGGGGGTGAAGTGAGTGTCAGTGTCAAGTCTGATGTTACTAATAACATATCTCGTCACATTCTGCAGTTCATAAAGTGCTTTAATCCTATGGACTTGGGTGGCCCTAAAAGTCTACCCATGAGTCCCCCGGGGATCACAAGCAGAAGGGCAGAGGAAGGTGTGGCACTCCCCTAGAGTTCTGACGGGAGCTGAAGGACAGCTGAGCACATCAGCAGAGGCTTCTGGTCTGCTCGCCCCAGACCCCCTGCAGAGTCTGCTCCTCTAAAGAGGGATTACTACTTCTTCCCTGGATTGTAGATCCAGGCCCTAGATGTGTGACAAGAGTGAATAAGAAGAATGCTGAGGAAAGACTTGGCACTCTTCCCCGTGGTTGCCAGGAGAGCCCAGTCCCATGGGGAGAGGATAGGGACCCAGGGTAAGAAGCTCTGAGTTGCTCGTTCTATCAAAACCATCTCCTTCTGAACACTCCTTCCTGAGCTTGGCGCCATGAAAACCCGCAGGAGACCAGCCCCCCTCCCACACTGTGGGCCCAGTCCTATTGGTTTAAATATCTTTATTGATACTAAACTTATCCACAGAACCCATGGCCAGCAGTTCTGAGGAGGCCTGCATCCAGAGGCCTAGGAAGGGGCTCTTTGGTTTCCATCGCGGGGCCAAGGAGAGAGAACTCCCTAGAGCGTGTAGTCTCCACCAGAACTCTCTAAAGTGCCTCTAGGGGAGGGGGATGGTCCCTCCAATGCCCTGGGCCTTCCTGGGCACGCGTGTATCTCCAGGCTCACCTCCTCAGTTACCAGAGGCCTGGGAGACGGACTTTGGCAAGGGTAAACTCGGCCAGAGCAGCGCCCTCTGCTGGAACCCAGCTGTCACAAAGGTAGCGAGAGGCAGCTCTGCACGCAGCTGGGAGAGCTGCTCCGGGGGTCAAAGGCAGAGGCTGAGCTCCTTGCGCACGAGGCATTGGTGGCACTGCACTACGCAGCACCAGTGGAAGCGGCAAAGGCAGTTCTCCTCGAGCTGCACACTCTCCTGGCGGTGCCCGCGACCACAGCACAGCAGGTCGCAGCCGCTGAGGTCCAGGGCACTGCTGTTGCAGGCGCGGCCCCGAGTACCGGGAGAACCTGTGCGCCTGTTGGGGGCGCAGAAGTCGGGCGAGTCGGCAACGTAGAGTAGGTCAGCTCCGCTAGGCGGCTTGAGACTGCGGACCGCGGGCAGCAGAGCCTTGCCGTCGTTGGTGCCCATGACACGCGAGGCGCCGTGAAAGCGCTCGAGCAGCTCCGCGCCCACCTCGCGGAATGGGGGCAGCTTCTGCCAGCAGGTACGCAGAGCGCAGGAGCCCGAAAGTCCGTGGCATTTGCACTCCGTGCGCGTGTGGCTCCGCACAGCCTGCGAGGATCAGAGGAGCGGTGCAGATGGAGACAGATGTGGGGCTCGGGGCGGGAAAAGGCCCAGAGGACAGACAGACAGAATGTAAGAGATGGGGAGCGGACTGACGAGAGGAAAAATCAGACCTTCTCCCCACAACCTCAAAACAAACAAACAGCAGCAACAATAACAACAACAAATCGGCAATCGCAAGGAGGAGAGGAGGAGATCAAGGAAGCGACAGCCCCAAGAGGAGGGGAAGAATGATAAGGATGGAGGAGTGGAAGTGGGCAGTGTGGGACAGAAGGCACAACTCAGCCTGCCGCCCTGCCAGCCTCCGTGCCTGGAGATTCCGGGGAAAGTAGAATGGACAGCAGGGGTGAGATTCTCCCGGAGCCGGGCGGGCGCGGGGCGGGGAGTGGGGGGCAGTAGTAGCTGTCACACCTTCTGCCTCCTGCCAACACTCACTGCCCCAGGCAGGGTGGAGGAGAGACGCAGGGCCCGCGCCCTGGGCGTCTGTCTCCACCACCCCTCCCCAACCCTCTCCAACAGGTATGTGGGCCTGTCAGGACATTCTTCCCTGGGCCCCCTTACCCGCCCCCATGCCCGCCTAATGCCCCAGGCCCAAACCCTAGAGGACACAGGATGTGTGTGGGGGTGCCCCTAGAGCACCCCAGAACTGAGGCTGGGGGCCCACTGTAGATGTACTACTGAGAACTGGAACCCAGGAGTCCTGCCCTTTATTTGCTCTTTGCATCTAAGAGTCATGGCCCCACTAGAGATTTATGGGGTCAAATGACCCAGGAAGAGCATGTCTAAAAGCTCAGAGTGCAGGTTCCCTCCTTCCCCCTGGAACATCTAACCCAGGCAGCTTTTTTGTCCCTACACGGAAGCTCCCGGGGCCTCCTCCTTGCAGAGAGGAAGGGAGTCTGCCAGGGTTCCAGGCTGGGCCTGGTCTGGGGTTGCTGGGCAGCCAGTCGACAAGAGCACAGATTCCGTTACAGCTTTCCTGGTCTCTGCCTGACCCCTCCTGCCTCCACCAGGATCTGCTTCTGTCCTTCAGTCCTTTCCAAGCCTGTTGCACCTCGCACCTGTTCTAGCTCCTTTCCAGGCCGCCCTTGCACCTGACTCCCCTACCTCAAGACCCCATAACTTTGCCCCAGCTTTTACCCTTCCTTTCGTCCCCGACCTTTGCCGCCACCCTCTATCCCTGCCCTGACAGCCACATCTCTACCCACCCCAAGCTTTACCCTACCTTTCCTGTCTCAGAGTTATGCCCTTTCTACCTGTGGTCCCCAAAGGCCCAAAACAAGTCCTCTTCCCTGGGTAACTTCTCCCTCCCCTGCACCAGGCCCCCCAAGTGACTCCATCTTCTAGGCTGGCCAGCTCACCTCCCACATGCCCATCAAGCCCCCCAGACAACCTTCCCAGGTGGCCCCCCACTGCCACGCTGGCTCACACAGATTAACATACTCCTGCACATGCAGACCCTCCCTTGCTCACACACTTCCACAAATGTGCTCCTACACTCACACACAACTCTCCCACACCCACTGACACACGCACACATTTCCACACTCATGCACACACACACTCTTACCCACCCCTGCCCATACTCACCAGCCGGCCTGCCTCATTGTTGTGAAGCTGCACCAACGCTCGGATGTCCCCACCTCCCCGCTTGTGCCGGGCGTCCATAAAGAGCCTGGATTTCTCATCCCCGAAGTCCACATCATCGCCGCAGCCTCCCCACTCCCAGGCTGCACTCCCCTCTGGGGATCCCACAAGGCCAGGGGGCCCGAGGGTGCCTGGCAGGCCAGGGGGTCCAGGCGGGGCCCGCCTGCGGGGTGCCTGGCAGCCACACTGCAGCAGCTCACCCATGGAGCAGGCCTGTGTGACTGCGTGGCTGGCTCCTGCAGCTGTGATGGCAAAGACGAAGGCAGTCTCCCGGATGTCTGTGGGGACAGGGAGTGGCAGTCAGCCTGCAGCACGGAAGCTGAGTCCTGGGGGACTTGGTGGGCAGGGCAGTGAGGTGTAGGGCTGGGTGGGGCTGGGAGACCGGGTCAGGGCAGAGTGTCCAAAGATCCATGGGAGAGGTGGGGCTCAGATAGCCTCCCCAAACCTTCACCCTCTCCTCGGCGCCCCTGGTCCCCTCCTCACACTGACCCTGCTGCAGGATGCGCCCAAAGGCCTTGCTGTGGCTGGAGCAATTCCAGCGGCGGAAGCGGAACTGGAACTGGCACTCTCGAACCCCGAGCCGGGCACCCCGTGCCAGCTCGGCCACTACTTCTGGTTCCTCCTGGCACAACTCAGCCTGCCGCCCTGCCAGCCTCCGTGCCTTCCTGCAGATACTGGTGGGGTCCATGACCAAGGGGCTGCCCACCGCCCTGGGAAGGGAAACACAGCAGGTCAGGGATGTAACTCGAAGGGCTGGGGTGACAGAGAGGAAGACCAGCCCCATGCAGCCCACAGTCAGGAGTCCAGATATGTCCCCCCAACCCCACCACCAACTGAGACTGAGATTCTCCTATCAGGTTCTCTTACCATTGTGTCCACGTCTGTGTTCCCTTTTAACTAGACTTTAGATTGAAATCACTAAGAGCAAGGATTCAGTCTTATCCTTCTGTGCACACCCTAATCCTTATACGATTTTGACTCAAGGTGATAAGGTCCCCTGCCACACACACACACACACACACACACACACACACACACACACACGACATTCACATATGCCCTGCAGGTCACTGTCCTCATCCCATCCAAGTAGTCTGGAGCCAAGGTTCTTTCCTCGGTGGAGAGACTCACAGCCCAGACCAGCGGTCTTCAACCTGTGTGTCACAAGAACTTTTAAAACATGCAATACCTGACTATTCAGGAGCACTGACCTCTTTTCCCTTGGATTGTCAAATTAAAAACATGACAACAGCCAACACAACAATAGCAGTCCAGTGTGATTAAATCAAAATTATACCTATTTTTGGTCAGATCGGCAAAATATATTTTGATATATTTATATATTTTTATAATATATAATATATCCTGTGCTGCAGAATTTTAGTGATTAGTTCTTTTGTGCCATGAGATGAAAAAAGTTGAGAATCCCTGGTCTAGCCCTTCCCTCCTCCATGCTCGGGACCTGCCCATCGCTGCCTTCCAACTGCAGCCTGGGGAGTTCCAGCCCCATCCCTTTCCCAACCCTAGAGAAGTAATGGATGGATCAGTGGGGAGTCGGCCAAGGGTAGGGCGGCCAAGCTGGCTCCCAGTGACCTTCAAGAGTCGATCTCTAGCTGTCCACCCTCCCATCCGCTTATTTCACCTCATTACAGAAAGAACTTGAGGCAGCTCCCGGCGTGGTCACACAGAGACAGCAGGTAAGACTATAAGCATCTAAGAGTTAGAACCATCATTTTCTTTTGTCTCCTAGGCAGGTTTTTAGGTACTTAATCATGTTTCCCCTCACTTTTTATGAAAGTGTTGCATACAATGAATAATTACTGTAATGCTGCAGTGAATACCATTTAATACATGTTTTGGGGTGAATAAATGAGCCATCAAAGGAGAAGGTCCTCCTGTGAGCTTATCCCCTGACCACATGCCATTTCAAGACTACTAATTAGTTTCCACGGACATTTGACTTCTCCCACTGGATTCAGATGCAGAGAAGCAGACCTCCCCAGGCTGTCCAGGTCCTCTCCTGCCACCCACATGTCCAGGACTCCACCAAGGACTCTGGGGCCCTGCACACTCAACCCTCCCCGTGCTACTAAGCTCCCCAGCCCCCTCGCCAACCCTGCCCTCTGCTAACTCCCTACTTTCCCAAGGTCGGCCGGCATTATCTTCCCAAGGTTACTCAGTCCCCATCCCTCTCCTCTCCCTCCTCCGGTCCTAGGAAAGCAGGAGAGGGAGGGGGTATGCAGGGAAGAAAGGCAAAAATCTCTTGACCTTATCTGCTTCCCAGGGACTAGAGATAGAGGACTCAGGAGGATTCCTGGCTGCCTGGGAACTAGACTTGTTTACAGGCTGGCCAGGAGAAGGGATGGGCAGTTGTAGCCGCCTGAATCCCAAGGGACCAGTTTGCTCCCTGCCCTCTGGCCCTCACTCCCATCCTCAAGTCACAGGAAAGGGCACTCCAGAGAATGAGTGGCAGGGGTTCATTGGGAAAAACACCGAGCCTCACTTCTGCACCCTGGTCCCTGTCAGCTGAGCCACTGTGGGCAAGTCAGGTCCCCCTCTGGGCTTCAGAAACATGAGGAGCTAGCATGAAAAGCTTGAATAACCCCCAGAACTCCAATACTAGACTCTGCATTGAGAAATAACTCCCTCGTCTTCCTTCTTCCTTTACCACCCCCTTCCTTCCCTTCTGCTTCCTGAAGGAATGAACTCTGCTGCTGGCGCCTCTGAGTCAGCATTGTCCTGGGACCAGCCCATAGAAGCTGTGCCCACTAGGGAACACCTGCACGTTTTGAGGCTGGAGCATGGGGGTAGCAACAAATATGCAGTATAGAATATGTAAGGTCTGAGATCCTAATCAAGTAGACATTCCTGGGCGTAGAAACAATGAGGCTAGCCCTAAGAGAAATCAGTATGCAGACAAGAAGGGACAAGCCTAGGGTTAGCCATTCTAACTGGCTTGGCCTGCGCCAAATCTTCCTCCCAAGGAGCTTGGTGACAGCAGGGGCTGGCCAGTTCCTACTGGCAACCTTTGCAGATCTTGCCCAGGAGGCCCGGGGTTCTGGCCTAATCTACCTTCCCTTTCCCAGATTCGCAGGGCTTCCAAGAAAGCCAGAGAGCGTGCAGTCCTGCTCCATCGACCTGCCCTGCATTATACAGATGAACAGTGTGAGAAGGGAGGTGGCTGATGCTGGCCATTGCGAGAAATTGAGGTGAATACTTCAAAAACCAAAGGGCTGGAGGGAAAAATGGCCACCGGAGGAGGTATCAGAAGGCACCAGGTGGCCTCGCACGCCATCGTCCACAGAGTGTCTCTTCCTCCTAGCAGTGGTGGCTAACTCTGCAGCCATTCCACATTACACCGCTAAATTCCTGGACTCAGAGCCACCCCCTCCTCGTCCCTAACTCATCAAAATCTTACCCAGCTTCTCTCCAAACTCATCTGAGCTCCCACCTACCCTGGGCCCCAGCCCTCACTGGTCTTCCCCTCTATACCATTCTACCTGTCACCCATTGGGGGCTTACTTGTTATCCTGCCAGTGGCATAATTACTTTGTCATGTTTCTTGTCTATCGCTCCAATTAGATAGGAAACTCACTAAAGACAAAAGTCTGCCCTGGTTGGTGTGGCTCAGTGCATTGAGTGCCAGCCTGCGAACCAGGGAGGGGGTGGTCACTGGTTCGATTCCCAGTTGGAGCCTGGGTTACTGACCAGGTCCCCACTGAGGGGCGCACGAGAGGCAACCACACATTGGTTTTTCTCTCCCTCTCTCCTCTCTCTAAAAATACTTAAAATCTCTTTAAAAAAGACGAAGATCTCACAAGCAAGCCCCATGTCAGCAGTCAGAGCACGCTCAGGGCTTTGGGGATCCAGTAGACATGGGTTTGGATCTGGGCTCTGCCATTTGCTCATTCTCCAATGCTGAGCAAATCCCTAGCATGTGAAGCTGGTCCTCAGTATTTGCTGAAGGATGATGAGGCTTGACCTTCTGAGCCTGTCTCCACAACTGTGAAATGGAAGCAAATAATAACACCTGCCTCCTTCCCAGGTGACATATGAAGGAAGCATGTCCAAAGAGTGGGCTTCCGCGGTGCTCCTTGTCTTCCGTGTGCACCCTTACTCATGGCTTGGCCTGCACCCCGCGCGCAGGGCGGATGGTAGGAGCGCAGGCAGCGTTTGTGGACTCCTGAGAACTCTCACTTCTCCACCTTTCTGTTCTTACTTTTCGGCCTGGATCTGTGCGTCTCCAGGCCTGCAGGCCCTTCCCGTGGACCAGAGCACCCTCCAGGATCCCTGCCTCTTCCCCAGAGAGCACTCCCGGGCGGATTGTTGAGGCCAAGGGGATCACAGACCCTCTTGATGCCCAGCCTCCTCAGAAAGGTCTCTCAGCCGGCTCTCTATTTTCCCACAGATACCATCCCCCCACGCAGGTTCCCTCATCTGACCCTCAGCTCGGGGAGCCAGCAGAGGGAGCCCTGAACCCTGGGGCTGTGGGTGGGGGCGGTACGGGGGTGGGGGAGGTGGGTGGTAGAGAAGGGGCAGAAAAATGTTGCCTGACTGCTGCGAGGCGGCTGGGCCCGGGCCTGTGCCCGCCCGCCTGTCCTGTCCTGCTCTGTCTAACTCCCTAATTACTGCTCCCCCTCCCCCAGTCCCTACTCCCACCCCAACCGCCACATCAAAGCTGGTGATGCCCCAGCTCCATTAACCCCTGCCTACCCACCACCCACCCATTCCACCCCTCCCACACCCCACCTCAATTCGGCTCCCTCTGCGCTGTCCTGGACACTGCCCTTCCTACCTCCTCACACTTCTCTCCACTGCTCCCGGGAGAGGCAGGGACTTCCCCTTCCCTGATGGACTCCACCACACAAGAGGGCTTCCTATCGGTCAGGGCTGCGAGAGGCCGAGGAGTGGTCACGTTAATCTCCCACTGCATCCCCTGAGGACGATCTGTGCCTCCCGCTCTCCCACAGGGAGGTGGGGAGCACCCATGTGGGAGTGGGCGTGGGGGAGCAGAAAGGGCCTGTGGAAGGCCCTGTACCCCTTTCCTGACCGCCTCCCCCCACAGCACTCAGGGGGACAGTCCCATCAGGAGGTGGGCTCCTGGCTCCACCCCTCGGCTACCCGCACTCTGTGTGGCCTTGGGTCACCTCCTATCCCTGGGCTTGGCTGGACTTCTTACGGTGAGTGAAAAGATGGGGCCAGATGATCTCTAAGCCCTTTACTGGTCTAATTTCTGGAATAAAGGGAGAGCTCCGTGTGCTGGAGGAAACAGCCAAAGAGGCCAGGTGGAAGCTGGCGGAACCCCACTAGCAACCTTCTCCGCCCTCAGTTGCCCCTCAGGCAGTCCACGGGCACAGGAGGTCTCTTCCCATCCCGCTCCAGGCAGGACGGAGAGCTCAGGCTAGAGGGCGCTCTGCCCAGGCCCCAGGGACAGGCTTCTCTGCTCTCCAAGCGCCTCCTGCTCTGGCTGGCTGGGCGCCCTGCTGCCAGCCTGACCACAGCCTGGCTGCCTGCCCCGCCCGCGCCTCATCCCCTCCGCAGCTGCATTTCTCTTCAAAGTACACATTCGAATCCCCCTGACGGGCCCTGGCGATCAAGCCTCTCACTGACCTCCCCCCACCAACTCCTGGCTTCAGATGAGAACAGGGAAGGAGGGGCCGCACCCCCCAGGAAGTGTCACAGTGCCAGGACTCTGGTGGGTTCAGGGCATGCTCTGGCCCAGACTGAGCCAGCCTCCTTTTGCCCCTGCCCTTTTCTGCTCACAGCCCCATTGTCTTCCTCTGGGGGAAGCTGCCAAAGCGGGAGGCCTGGAGGGTGGGGCTGGATGACCACCCCACCCCCACCCCCACCCCACCCGGAGCTTGGCGGGGACCAGCAACAGGACTGCCCACAGAGGCTGAGGGGCCCCAGATAAAGATGGGGTGGGAAAGTGTGGCCAGGCTTAGCCTGGGGTGGGGATCACAGCTGGAAAACCTGGGTTTCAGGAAGACCCGAGTCTGGTCTTTTCCCTGCCTGCCTGTGGGGCCAGGGACAAGGCTGTCCTGGGCCTGTGGCTCCTGTTTCTATAAGGGAAGGGGGGGAGTGAAAAGCAAGAGGAGATGCGGGAAGGGAGTGAGATTGGGTGGTGTTCTTCCCAGTGGGAATGGGGGAGGGTTAGTTTCTTTCTTAGAAAATATAAAACAGGAGGAGGAAAGAGGAAGAGCGAAAAAGGGAGATTGATTTGGCTATTCTGTGAAACCAAACTATTTTCTGCATCCACTAATTGAAAGTATAAATAAAATGAGTCAGACATTAAGAAGAACTTCCTGGAGGGGGACAGGGAGCGGGCAGAAGAGAGCCGGGGACTAAGAAAGCCATAGCCTGCGCCCTGGCTGGTGTAGCTCAGTGGATTGAGCACGGGCCTGCAAACCAGACAATCGCGGTTCGATTCCCAGTCAGGGTACATGCCAGGGTTGCAGGCAGGTTCCCTGCAGGCCAGTTTCCAGCAGGGGACGCACGAAAGGCAACCATACATTGATGTTTCTCTCCCTCTCTCCTTCCCTTCCCCTCTAAATATAAATAAATAAAATCTTTAAAAAAAAAAAAAAGAAAGAAAGCCATAGCCTCTCTCTCTGCCTCATTCTCAAGGTGGGATCTGTCAGGGCCAGAGCATTGGCTGGACAAGATGGCCCCAAGACAGCCTGGCCAATGCCCTGGAATCAGGGATTCAGCAGTTCACAAAGAGAGTGTTACTTTGTGAAGGGCTTTAAGAGAGACAGGGAGAGAGACGAGGCAGAATTTAGAAAGCATAAATTACATTAGAGGAAGAAGGGGGAGAGGGAAAGTGAGAGGGAAATCTCTGGAACCTGGAGTCTGAGTCCCTGAGCCTATTCCAGGGCCCAGGCCACTCCCCCCAGGACCCTCCTTTTCTAACCGGGACAGTCCTGTTATTCAGAGTTCCTGGGGACCTCTCTGCTCCCAGCCTGGCTGCGGCCAGTGTGTCAGAGTGGACTGCAGGGGGCTGCTGCAGGTCCAGCTGCTTTCCGGTCCACCACTGGGCCCTGACCTAGCCAGCAGTGGCTAAGAAGTAGGGCGAAGAGGGCCAGCAAGCAGGTCCCAGACATCAGGGAACAGCCTGGAAGTTCCTGGCCCAAAAAAGCTCCAGCCAAAGTGAAGCCGGGCCAGGGTAGGGTGGGGGTGAGGGGAGGATAAAGAGAGGTAGAAGTCTCAGGCCACCCAGGGGTGCTGGGTCTGGTCCACCAGTCAGATTCTGATCTTGGAGGGCAATGATGGGGTGTGGTGGGGACAGGAGTACAAGCAAGCAGGGTCAAAGATCCTGAGAAAGGGAATCTGGGCTCAGACCAGAGGAATGAAGTATCAGAAACAGACAGGACAGTGAGGGGGCCGAGGCGGTTGGGAAAGGCAGGTTCTTTCTGAGAAGCATCTGAGTGAGGCAGTCTCTGGACCCCTTATCACCCCAGTGCCTCACTCTTCACCCTGCTCACCCTGCAGCTGTGGCCATGAAGGCGTCTGTGTTCTCCCACACCTGCCCTCCTCACCTCCTCCCCCACTCCTTGCTTTCCAGCTTCAGGGTCAGTCTCCAAGGAACCAGGTCTCCCTCCCTCTGGTTTGGCTCTCACTCAGCAGCCCCTCCTGAACAAAGGAACCCCCGCAGATACAAATCCCAGAAAGGTGAATCGGCCAATTCGGCAACGCTCCAGAAAACTGTCCCCAGCACCTTTAGCCTCCAGAGCCCCAAAGGCCAAGGCTCTGCCTTCCAGAACCAGGGAAGAGAGCCACCAGAGGACACGGTTGTCAAAATACAGTGACTGGCATAGTTGCCCAATGCACTGTCCGTCGGGAGCACAGAGAAGGCAGGGGAGGGAAGACAGAGGGACAGCTTCGTGGAGGCAGTGTCATTTTAACCGGAAGCATGAGAACAACTTGGACAAATGGGGAGGGAGGGCAGGGAAGGCAACACTATCAGTGAGAAACCCCTGTCCCCACACCTTGAGAAAGGGCAAAGTTAGGAAAGGTGTTTGGGAAGCAAGATGTTTACAAAGTTTTGCTTGGGACCCTGGATTTTATTTATTTATTTATGGAGAAATGGGGAGGAGGGAGAAGGAAAGAGAGAGAAGCATTGATGTGTGAGAGATACATCAACAAGTTTACTCTTGCACTCCCCTAACCAGAGACCTGGCCCGCAACCCAAGCATGTGCCCTGTCTGGGAATCAAACCCAGGGCCCTTTGGTTCACAGGCCAGTGCTCAATCCACTGAGCCACACCAGTCAGGGTGCGATCCTGGATTTAAGTTGAAACAAATCCCCCTTTGTACCCATGAGGTTTCTGGACAGAACCTGGGGTGGGAAGGAGGGAACTTACACTTAAGGAGCATCTACCAAATGTCAGATCATTCTGTAAGTCATCTCCCTAATGCCACCACCAAGCCTGCTAGATAGGGAAATTGTTTCCCTATCTTACAGTTGAGACATTGAGGGAGGTGGGGCGAGCAGTGGAAAACAGTGACTTGCCCAAGTTTACAAACTTAACTGAAGAAGATTAGATCTCAGGTCTATTTCAAAGCTGCTACTGCATTATGCTAAACCGGAATCAAAGGATGCATATTGCCTAGCAGGACCTGGATCGTCCTAGATTTGCCCCCTCACTGACACCGCTGAGGGACACTCATGCATCACGGATGAGGGATCTCGGCCAGTAGCTCCCTGTGTGAACACCCTCCCCTCTATCTCCCTAGCGTAGCAATTGTCAATCTGTGTGCCACAAGAAACTTTAAACCATGCAATAGCTGACTATTTAGTCAGGCGCACTGACCTATCTTCCCTTAGATTGTCAAAACAGTGACAGCAGCCAACACCGTAGCCGCCCAGTGTGAATGAATCACAATTATGCCTATTTTGTCAGATTGGCAAAAAATATACATTTTGGTGTGCCACAGAATTTTAGTAATTAGTTTATGTGTGCCAGGAGATGAGAAAGCCTGAAAAATGCCCTAAAAGAGACTGATCTGTCCGCTCCACCCCTCCTTCCACATCCCCGGAGGTGTGTGTGTGTGGGGGAGGAGTGGAGTGTAGAAAATCCAGCCAATGACGTGGCTATATGCAAATAAGCAAGACCCTGCCTTCTTAGGATTGGCCTATGCGTCAGTGATATTGTCCAAGTCCCTCCTCTCTAAACACCAAAGTTATTCCGGGACGGTCTTCCCAGCTCAGGAGACGAGGAAGGAAAAAAAGTCCGCGGGGTCCAGGTGTCTGAGCGGTCCCAACTGGGCACCCACCTTCCCAAACCCTACCCAAGTCCGCAAGGCTCAAAGTTCCTACAGCCTTGACTGCCTAGGGTGTCTGTCTAGCTACGGCCAATTCCGGAAAGATGTCCTCATCCTTAGCTGGCCAAACCGCAGTCCCTTTCGCCAGACCCTCCCCGGTTCCCAGTACATTCTGAGCTGCACATCTACTTTATCATTGACCCTGTATCTGCAAGGTCCAGGTGCCTGAACCCCTTTCCTCCTCCTCTTTGTTCAGGGAGGGGGAAATAGAGAAAGCCAAGGTCCTGGCTCAGTTTCCCCTTTCCTGCCACTACCGACCACATTGAAGGAGCCCAGAGAGAAATGGACAGATTGGTGAGCAAAGTGGGACGGGAAAGAGGCAGCCGTTTGACCCTACCTGCCTATGGCTTCCTATTTTGTTCCTCTCTTTTCCCCAGATCCAGTCCACCTCCTTTGAATCCAGAGTCCTCCTTCCTCGTCACTCTTTTCTTCAGATTACTGACTACAGATCTTCCCTCTGGCTCCCTGGTAGCTCTTTCCTATCCACCCACCAATTCCTTGGTGACCTGGATTGAGCGCATAACCTGGGAGGGAGGTGGGGTGTAGGACACGGGGGAGGGGGGAGGAAATACAATAGAATGTGCGGGGGTAGGTTAGAGCCGCCTAATGGCAGTTCGAAGTGCCCCGGGTGGAGGCCGGCGGGAGAGCAGTACGCACCTCCCCCGCGCCGCCCCAGCGCGCAGGTAGAGCCGGGAGGCAGCGGGACTGCGATTCGGAACAATCCGGCAGGAGGTCCCCACCCTCGAGCGTCAGGAGCCGCACCGGGACAGCCCGATGCAGGACTCACCACCACAGTCCGCCGACGTGCGCGGGACACAGGAGCAGCAGCAACAGCAGCCCGAGGCGGGAGGACACGGGCGGCAGCATCGTAACCGCTCTGAGGCCCGCCGGTGCGGGCAGGGGGCGAGGCTGCGGGGCCAGCCGGTGCGCGCAGGGGCCCGGGCTTCAGGGCGAGTGCGGCTCCGGCGGCGGCGGCCGGGAGGCAATGGCTCCGGTGGTGGCAAGAGGGCCCATCCCGGGCTGGAAGGGCGCGGCGGAGGCGGAGAGCGGACAGGGCAGCCAGCGCCTGTGTCTCCGGCCGAGCTCGCTCCGGAGAAGAAATCAGAGCCGGGGGCGGAGGTGGGAGGGGAGCGGGGCCCGGGCGGGGGCGGGGGGCAGGGAGGCTGTTGGGGTGGCAGTTGCGACAGTCAGGCGGCGGGACTCTCGGGAGGTAGCCTTGCGCCCCGGGGCGGCAGGCGCGGAGCGCCGCGGAGGGCGGGAGCGAGGGTCCGGGGCGGGGCCCGAGAGCGCTCGTGGCGGCCGGTCCCGCCTGCCTCGCCCCCTCACCTCGCCTCTCGCGGAATGGGAGCCCCTCGCCGCCGCGCGGAGTCGGGGGCAAGGAGGGCGGGGAAGCAGGGTGGAGCAGGGTGCAGGGGGGAAAGAAGAGGAGCTGAGGAATGGGGGACGGGCTGGAAGGGAGACGTTTGACAGGTTTGTTGACTGTAAAGAGAGAAAACTTCCCAAGAATGAGGGAGTTTGGGGGGGCGGGGAGGGCGGTGCGGAGGGCGATGCTGGAATGGGGGCCAGGAGAGGAAGTCCGCCTGGGGCTCTGGGTGCTCCGGGGAGGGGTGTCTGTCGCACTCGAGGGTCGGACAGGCGGAGTGCGGAGGGGATCACCTCTAACCAGACCCCGCCTCCGCGTCTCACGCCCCTCTCTCAGCCTCTCCTTGAGAGAGGGAGGAAGCCCTAGGCCTCCATTCTTGCTCCCCAGGCACCCCGCCTCTTCAAGCCCGCGTTCAGGGGAGGGGGGTGCGGAGGGGAGATTAGAGAGCTGGAGGAATCTCCTGATGGCCTGCGCTCAAGTGCTCGCACGCGTAAGCGAGCGATAGAGCGAAGGTTGCAGGCTTGCAAGAGACTGAGGGATCAGAACCCGCTGCGGCCGGGCCTCACGCATCCGCGTTTTCTTGCCTCCCGTCGCTTCCCCAGCTTGGCGGGGCCAGAAGGGGTGGGAGAGCCAGCTGCAGGTGAGATGGCATTTATTCGATTCTCTAATGCCACAAAAATGTCTTTGATGCCCCTGGCCCCCTCCCCACGTGGGGAGATCAAAGGCCCGTGGGAAGGAGGGACAGCTCCATTCATCACGGCCTCGGGGCTGGCAACGGCTGCAGTCCCCGCTCCTCCCCTCCGGCCCCACATGCCCCAGGGGTGCTGAGGGACAGGTGGTGCGAGACATTCCTCAGCAAGGGCCAGTCGCCGAGTGAACTACCGTCATCTATCTGGGGCGGCCATCAACCTTTAGGAATGCACTGGGGCAGGGAGGACAGATCCAGGACCTCAAACCTGAGGTGCAGACACCTCACGCTCCCAGAGGAAAGCTCTTGGTGGTTTGAGTGTGTGTGTGTGTTGGCTGGGGGAGGGTTGGCCCGAACTCGGGGAGTGAAGCCACTTCCAAGAAAAACACCCCTGGTGAGCAGAGAGATTCTGAGTACCCCAGAGTGTGGAAACGGGTGGATGGAGAGGAGACTGGGGATTAAAGGGCTGTGGCAAAAGACCATAGGTGCCTACCCCACAGGAGGAGGCACATCTGGGCAAGGAAGGAAAGGGTGAGAAATGGAGAAATGTTAGCCTCGGCACATAGTAAAGCCTCTGGGCTGGCCCGGAGCTCCGCCCCAAGGCCCTGGTGTCTGAGCTGTTGGTCTAATTCCTAGGTACAGAGAGTTCTGCTGAGGGGCCAGAACACTCTAGAGAAGGGGAGGAGACCCTGGGGGAGGGGCTGGTGGCTGAGGGCTGGTGGCTGAGGGAGTTAGAGAGGAGGGCACGGCCCGAGTGCTGCCTTCATAGCATCCAGATGCCATGCGCGGTCCCTGCACCTATTAATTTCATGCAGTTGCTGCTTCTGCAGGGCAAGCCCACCTCCGGGCACTGTTAGGCACACATTTGGGCCAGATGGTGCCAAACAGACTGTTGGGGGCTCTGTGGGGGTCCCTGGAGGCTGCAGGTGGCCGATGACCGCCCCCCCACCCCAGCCACCCCCTGGGTTCTGAACCCCCTGCCCCCACCCTGCTACTGTTATTGCAGATTATGAAATGCTCTCCTTATCCTGCATTCTTCTCAGAGGCAAGAATTTTAATGTATTTGTCTTTGTCATCAGGGGACCAGGGCTCTGGGACCGCCCTGCCTCTGCCTGAGGAGGGAGCGCCCCAAATCTGGTCCCAGCTGCCTCCAGACCCCAGTCTCTCTCTACTACCACCCCCTCATGCCCTAGCCCTGCCCTTCGCCTCCCCCTTCTGAGACATGGTCTCTCTGTGGGGTGGATAAAAATGATGTTATTGAAACAACAGAATTGGGAGCAGTGGCAGGGAGCAGGGATCAGCTCAGGAAACTGGGGCGTTTGCCAAGAAGACTTCTCCCCCGCAGGCGGCCTTTCTGCCCCCATCCCCCACCTTTCCTACAAACACACAGATCACCCCACCCCTCCTGCAGTGCTCTCTCTGGTCAGATCTTGCAGAGTATTTGTCCATCCCTGGACTCCCCGATTCCTTGTCCTGTCTGCCTGCCCCAGAGTCCTATTCCAGAATCAGTCGGCTCAGCGGTGCCTGCCGAAGCACTGGGGCAGGGGAGGTGTGGGCTGTAGTCTGTGATGCACACACCTCCTGGAGCCCCAATGCCCAGGGCCTGGGCTCCAAGGGAAACGGTGCCTCTGCTCACTCCTATTGCCTTCTCTGCACCCTCACCTAGGAGTTGGCTGGCATCTGGGCAGAGCCAGAGCAGGGGTTTCTGCTCTTGTGCCCCCCGAACCTTCAGACAGATGAGTTCAGAAGTTACTAAGACTTCAGTCCACCACTATCACCTCAGAAGACTTTCCAGAGAAGGACTGAGGGACCAGGAGATGGAGACAGAGGCACACAGAGACAGATCAAGAAGCACACAGAGAGAGAGCTGGGCACAGGCTTGCAGATAACTCCACAGAAACCGCAGGACAGCCTCACCTCCCCGGACAGTGCTGCAGAACCTACTGCTATGGATGGACACGCAGATGGGCTGGCTCAAGACGAGGCTTATGCCTGCCTCCCTGGAGATTGTGTGTGTGTGTGTGCGCGCGTGTGTGCCTTTGCACAGACATGCATCTAGAGGACCGTCACAAGAGACTGGAATGGGACACAGCAGCCCAGTGACCGGCAGTGTGAATGGGGTGGTGCCACTCTCTCTGTCCTCTGGGCACCGGGCCTCCTCCATTCTTCTCCCCACTGCTCTGCCTTAAGCCCCAAGAGTCTGTTAACTCCACTTCCAGGCCCTGGTGAGAAGGGGAGTCGGAAGAGAGAAACTTGGGTGTCTGGCTGTGGGGCTGGAAAGGAAGGAGGGGCAGAGCTGGGGACCGCGGAGGGGGGAGAGGCACCTGCAGAAAGATAACATCAGAATCGCTGCAGGCAGGAGCAGAGCCCTCTGTCTCTGTCGGAGCCTCTCTCTCCCTTTCCGTGTCTTTCACGTCTCTCCCATCTCTCTGCCATCTCCATAATTCAGGCTCTATTTGTGTCCGACTCTAAATCACTTTCTCTGTTTCTTTGTTTCTCAGAATGACTGAAGCTGCAGGAGCCCAGGAATTTGGGCCTGTGACCCTTCCCCTCCCAATAACCTCTCTCTTTCTCCCTCCCCACTGCCCTCCCTTCCTCCTTTCCCAGCAATGGGACCTAATTCTCATTCCTTTAGGGTGGTGACAGGATTTGAGAATTCCTAAGGGCCCTGGATCTCTGGGTCCCAGGAGGACAGAGGAAAGGCCAACTCTCCAGGGAGATGGAGGGAAAGAAAAAGGAAGAAAAGAAGAGAGCCATTTTCCTCCCTGTTCTGTGCCCAGATCCCTCCGGTCCAGCTTTCCCCAGCCCACCTGAAGCCCTGAGAACACACCTCCCCAGCTGAGAGGGTGGCGACTCAAATGTCCACACTTTAGCCAGGCTCGTCCCTGCCTCATAGGCCACGTTTCCCCTGAGACTCCCTCTGGGTCTTTGTGTAAGATAACCCCCACCCCGTGCCCCGGTTCCCCAAGGGGCCCACCTGCCTTCCATGTTCCACTTAGCTTTATTCACGTCTCCATCCTTCCTATCACCCCATCAGTCAAAGGGAGAAAGAACGAGGTGGTGTGGGGAGCAGAGGCTGGGAGGGAGGGGCTGCTGGCCCACCAGGACAGGGCTGGGAAAAGTCAAAGGACATTTGTTTCCACTGAGCTCAGCCCCAGTGGCCCCGAGTGGGAGTGGTGGCACCCGGGAGCTTCTCCAGCCATGTCAGTCCGGGCCCAGCTCCTGCTTTATGGATAGTAGGGTGGGCAGGGGATACTGGGTGTTCCGGGGGAGCCCCTACCCTCGTCTCCCAGGGCTCCATTCTTTTCCAGGTGGCACGAGCTCTCCCTGCTATGTCAGTGCTCTTGCCCCGAGGAAATCAGGCCCCTCTATTCGGGCCTCCAGACTCCCTCCTGACTGTGTTGGTGCCTGCTGGCTATCCCTCCCTGGCAGCGGTTGGCACATTTTTCACCTAACACCTACTATGTGCCAAGCACCCAGCTGGATAGTGGAGAGACGATGGTGAGCAAGAGCAGACACAACCCCTACCCTCAGGGAGCTGATGGTCCTTAATCATAGCATCCCACAAACCAATGGAAAGCCACGACCTTGACCTGTGCTGTGGAGGACAAAGGAGGGGGCTGTGGGAGGCTCTGGGAGCGGGGGACTGGCCCAGTCAGGGATGGTGCAGAAGGCTTGGCTGAGAAGGGAACACTACAAGTGAGATTCGAAAATTAGTTAGGGTTCACGGGGAGGCACGAGGTGGGGGGCATTTCAGGCAGAGGAACAGCCTTTGTGAGAGCCCTGTGAGGATATGGAGAAGGCGAGTGGGCACTGAATCGAGGGTGGCGTGGGGTGGGAAAGAGGGGCAAGCAGCCTGGTGGGAGACGAAGCTGAAAGGCATTTGGACGATCAGACCAAGTAAAGCCTCACAGGCATAGAAGGAAATTTGTTCTTATTTTGAAAGCAATAGGAATGCTACACGATAAATACATTGCAAGAGGAAAGAAAAAGAGATGGAGGGGGAATTCTAATTTAAAGGAGAATGAACAGACACATAAAATAAAGAAACAGAGGTGAACTATAGTTGTTAGAGATGCATGTGTAGATGACAAAAATAAATTGATGTTTCCCATAAAAGTCAGGCTAGTGCTTGTGCTGGGGGAGTTGGAGAGGGCAATTCTGTTTTGAGGGGCATGGCTGGCAAGGTTCTGGCCCCTTTCGTGGCGGTTCGTTCAAGGCTCTTCCAGCTCAT